GGCTCATTTCTTCTTCTTAGGATGACGTCTCCTTTTGATGGTTGCTCGTCACAATGGCATTTTCGCTGTCTCGCCTCTGAAAGTTTCTTGATCGGTGAAGCGATTTCGTAGGTTTTTCATTCATAGTCATTTGTAATAATTTTCTAATATGTATTTTCCACCTTTCGATTCTGACTTTCATTTCTTTTGGCGTATCCATTTACTTATATCTCCTTGATGTTTCTTCAACCAAAAATGTCTTCTACTGTAGAGAGAAAATCTGAATGCCTCTGAATGAGAGCTCTGGTTACTATGTAAGAAACTCTCTGTTGTGAGAAATATGTTGCTTAGAAAAGAACTATTATTTGCCGTTTACTCGTCCAGGAAACGTTTGACAAATTGTATGATTGTTGTGCTTGACGGATAATCATATTCAAAATAGCAAACCATACATGTGAAGCCATCGACGCTGAAGTTCAGAAGCAATACTCAATAGAATAAATAGAGAAGACGTATCTCAGGATTGTAGTTTTTCTTCGCATTGTTTATCGCAGAAACGCACTTTACTTGACAAATTGTATCAATTCGCTCAGCTTTGATAAACATGACTATTTTATTATTTCTCTTTCTCAAAAATGTGATTGAAAAAAGGGGCACCTTCAATCTAGAATCTGATTTTTTTTAAGTGAAATTTGAAGTGTACATACATTGACATTGGGAAAATTGAAAGAAAGTTAAAGTTTCAGGTATAGATGAAGTTAGATGCTGTGTTTTTTCAACTCAAAGAGACACCCACGTCTTCCCGCTTATGAGGGTTTAGTGTCGAAGAGCATTAAGCCATCAAAACCGAAAATATGAAAAGAAAGGACGACCACGCATTATAAGATTCCATACATCCTTTTCGCCAAGTCAGTTTTGTAGGGAATTTTTCTAAATCCATATTTTTTTATGTTTATTAAGCTTCGAAGTTCAATTAAAGAATAACATATTTTTCTACTTGTTTACATTCACTTTCAATTTTTCACCAGTAATCGTTGAGATACACGACCATTAATTGAATGTTCACCATGAGCCTTGGTTTTCGTTAATAATACATGAAAATGAATATAGCGAGCGATTAGAAATCGATTGATCTCTTTAAGAGACTCGTGGTGATACATCAGCAAATACTTTCTCGCACTACTGATAACTTTTGCAATTTTCGACAAACTAAGAGAGTTCAACAAAAATGAAACCTGCGCCATTCCGTTAAACGTTCTTTTCGCAGTCCGACGACAACGTTGATGCAAAAATTCGGAGCAATGTTTGAGACAAATTTTGACAATTATGCTGAACGAAAAGTTTGATGAAAATTAATCATTTTTTTAAAAACTCACAGAGAAACGACTTTGTCCAGATTGATCGGAATCAATTTCGGAGAAAGTTGTCATCACGGTTTAGGCACCAGCCGTGGTCTGTACGGATGGACGGGCAGACATACAAACGGACGGACGAGCGTTTGCGGCGTTGACGATTTTACGTTATCAAGAAGCCAAAAAACGTGGATTTTGAGTATACGTGTTAGACGAAGTAATCTGTTACCAATACGAACAAGATTTATCCAGTTTTCAGTTACCAGGGCCAGACAACACAAGTTTTTCCGCCGAAAAATCGCCGATTTCCTCCGCAGCCTTACAGTACTTTCTCTTTACAACGTAGGTACAAAGCAAGGCGACAAAGAGTACACAAAAATTACAACTAATTAAGAACATGTTCTCTGCAAGATTATGTATTTTTGACCAACGTGATTTGAACAAGTAATAGCTCGAACATCTGTGCCGAGAATTCTCGCGCCTCCGCCCGATCGAACGGCGGTGCAGAAATGCGTAGGGCGTGGAGAAAGGCCTGCCGCGACCGACTGCCCGCGCCTCTCCCTGGCATTGTTGACAAGTGACGGGTGTCTGTTCCTCAGCGGACCTGTGATAGACGTTCCTTCTGGGGAAGGCTTGTTCTTAAGAGAGGTTCGACATGCTATTGCAATTCGAAGGGCGTATCATGACGGAAGGTTTTCAAGTTCTGAGGAACCTCTAAAGTCAAAAGGCAAAATATTCTGTTGAAAGAAAAGCCATAAAATATTTTTTAATTAAAAAAACGTGTATATATATAATTGTTATAAATTATATATATATATAATTGTTATATATATAATTGTTATAAATTTCAAGGAAGAAGAAATTTCGAGAATAAAATTCGGATATAAAAACTCTTTTACTTCAGATGAATGTTAATAGCTTTTTATAAGCGTCTTCCGTTACATCCAATAATTCATCGATTATTAGTCGCCGAAATTAGTCACGAGGTGCCTCCCATGCGGTGTCAGCTATCAGTCACTTGGTCGGTAGAGCGGCAGATTCGAATTTTAAAGAAACAATGACACACATGTCTTTGCTTTCTTTACATATATTTTCTTCAAAATGGAGTTAATTTACAAATAATATTCCAAATATAATATTTCGTAAACTGTACATCAGTATTTTTTGATAGTATATTACGTTTTGATGATTTGTTCCAACGTACTTCATTTATCGTTTACCTTTTTCTAGGTGCCAATTTCATTGTTATCAACCGCGTATCGCGTCAGTGTCATTAGAATTGACGATATTATTTCCGACTTTGAGCTTAACCCCCAGTTTCCCAGACTTCGTATTCCAAATAATTGACCCTTGCCTACCCAAGTTTCACGGTTTCTAGTCCCGACATTGGCAAACGTTTGACATGATGTCAAATTCAAACACGATCTGCACGAGAATCCTGGCTGCTCTAGTACGCGAAAATAAATTCCTAAGTTATCCGTGGTTTCTCTTATCAATACCAAAATGGCGGAGCAGCACCCTCACGAACGTATCACGGAGTACGCACGTTCCTTCCCTCCTTATCCTTGTGCCTACATCTCCCCTCACACACAGCCGCGTGCGTGTTCTACACTACAGCCCACGTCAAGACACTCTGTAGAAGCTAAGAACTCGTCCCATTTGGAGAGGTGTGCGGCTGGGGAAGTGTCAGGATGAGAGAGGTATCGGGAGGAGGAAAAACCTTAAGCCGGCGTTTTGGTCGGGGCTGGATCTCACATTCCAACGGAGGAGAGACACTATTACCTCCCGAGATATAACATGCACAATATTTACGGTACTAATCACCATAGTGGTGGAAATAATAGTCAATCAAACAAACATACGACGGAGAGGAGGCATACTCACCCCGTAGAGGTCGGTGACGTTGTGGCAGACGTTGGGCGCGCTGGTGGCGCCGCGGTACGGCCCCGACGCGAAGTGCGGCAGCGCGAAGACGAGCGAGCCAATGCCCATGACGACGACGCCCCAGCCCAGCCAGCGCGGCTTGGAGGCGCCGGGCCGGCCGCCCAGGTAGGTGACGGGCACCATGCACGCGAACGACGCGATGTCGTAGCCGCCGGCTACCAGCCCCGACTGCGTCGAGCGCAGCGCGAAGCGCCGCTCGATCGTCGAGATCACCACGTTCACGAAGCCGTTCACCACCATCCCTGCAACACACGCGGCGACGGCAGACGTTAGCCAAACATCGATACATCGATACTTCACCAAAAGGTTTTCTACGTCAATTGCAAAAGTCGACAAAAAAAGTTGGTGTTTAAAATGTAGAAATTTTTAATATGATGAAAAACGTCGAAGTGAAATGTCCTGGTTCAAATATGAAACATTACTCGTCAATATTAGTTTAAAGTTTGTTTTTTTGTTACTTAAGGTCGCATCAACTTCTAGGTTATTAGCGACCACTATTGCGTGTAACGGTATGGTAACTATTGAGGATGACACGACTATGAATGGTGATAGGGCAGAGACAACACAATACAAACCATGCCCGAGGCGGGGCTCGAACCCGCGATCTTCATCCGAGCATCGCTACGCCTTAGCCATCTCATTCAGTTTAAAGTTTTTTCTGCCTTAAATTTGATTGTCATCTTAATTTTCTAATCAATTTTCTATGTAGTCATGGGTCAAAATGCAGTTCTACGAGATTGCCACATAAAAAATAACCAAGAAAGGTAACAACACTGGAAAAAAATTGCGAATAGCAAACGGTTTCGTGCCGTCTGAGGATCGACAAATGTGACATTGGGGAATGACTGTTGACTGGAAGAGATTTTGTCAGAATTCACAAAAATATTGGATACTGAAAAGTTTATTTATATCAAGAGAAATGTTTTTTTTAAACATCAATGTTTCTGAACAAATGTATTGATCTGAAGAAAACAACGAAAGCAAAACATCGATGATACAAAATAGATGTTTTTGCACGAGAATCGTCGTAAAAACATCGACATTTTTTTGCCATTCCTAAACACATAGCGCCATGCGGCGGCATCAGCAGACAGTACAAGCAACCCCGTTGCAGTTTTCGGTCAGGTGTGTCAAGCTGGTACAGACATGTCAGTACACCCGAATGAAACATTTCAAATGATTTAGTGCTCATTAAATGCCCCAATTTTAAATTATTTGCTGCGTATGTTCATGAGGAAAACGGGCGTGAGCTGGCTTGACGCGACGTCAGTACTAACAATAGTTAAATTCGGTTCGTAGATCGACAGAAACCCTCAAATGATTTATTTCCAATTAAATTCTTTCCTTTAAGCATCGTCGAGGATTTAACTTACGTGTGCGCTGGTGTCTCGCCAAGCCAGCTCACACCAGTTTTCTCCGCGAAGATACGCGGAAAATATTTCCAAACTGTGGCAATTAATTAGCAATTAATCGTTTGAGATGTTTTCTTCAAATGTGCTGACACAGTGGTTCCAGCTTGACACACCTAGTTTGCGTTTGAAATGTCTTGATCTTATGAATTGCAAGTCACTGTAACGCTGAACCTTAAGCATATAGACGATTTCATACATCTAGCATTCGTCGAGTAGCGAACGGCAGTTGTGGTCCAGGGTTTGCTTGCTATATGCCGAGCGCCAAACATTCGGAGCTCGCCCTAAACGGAGAGTACGTTCATTTCATAGCGCAGGACTAAAAGATAACCTTACACCAATTTGTTTAAAACCAATGTCTACTTAGTAAAGCGCTTAAACGCGTAAGATTTTGTGGTAACGAAGAGCATGGATATGGATGTTATGGTCTAAAATCACATGTATCTAAAGATTGTAGGTTAAATTGACAAAAATTGGCCTGTATAGATGTTGTTTTTTTAAACTTTTTTTTTCTTTTTTACTTTTTGAGATTTGTGAATGGTTGTACAAACTGCGGCTTCTGAATAGAAGGTCGTCACATTATATATCCGGCGATATATTCTAAACACGTATTTATTACGGAACAATTTAAACGAAATATCACATACGGGCAATCTCTCGGTGGATCGTTGGTTAGCGTGCTCACTTTCCACGGCGCAACACCGGGTTTGATAGCCGGTCGGGGCAAAAATTAATTGTACGCTTTCCTTTCAATGTCCCAGTATCTGTTGCTGTATGGCGATGAGAAAGCTCACGTCTCAGGTTGAGATGACCAGAATACAGAGTAGGAATGGCTATGTGCTAACTACATACTACACCTTAACCCATGGGATCAAGGTCGCGACGCTGGTAGGAGGCCTTAGCTCGTAAAGAACTGTTGTGCCAAAGTATACACATACTTCACATACGGGCAAACAATTACTGCTAATAAAATATTTTCGATTACCTACTCTTATTTTTTCGTTGTTATAAATATTATTCACGTTAATAGTTTATCCTTTTAAAATAACTGAGACGGAGGAAGTCTTTCCCTTCTCCTCTAGAGCAGATAATTTTATACTGGCAGCATCTCATTACCACAAGCTTAACTTAAAAATACTCAGTAGGTGTGGAGCCAAAAATGAAAGATTCTTGGATCCGCACTTCGCAAAAATGACTGAAAGAATCAACGGCCTACACAATCTGTGGGGTTGAACAGGACAGCTGTTAAGTTTATCATCTGTCACTGGCAACTCATCAACCAGCATATACATTCACAAATTTAACACACCTTCATAGTATATTTCAATTGCATAATGTATTTACGTTCACTTATCATACTTTTGAGTGATCAATTACAATAATTGAAATGGAAACAATAGTGCTTTTTATCAAAAATACGTTACAAATTTGATATATTTAAATAGTTTTGTAACTTCATTTCATTAATTCATAACACTTATCTTCATTGAATGATAAATTACAAGGATGGGTTAGCAATAATTTTGATGATTGAACAACAATCAAGTACACATCGTTTTTATCAGTAGGTTCAATGACATCCCTACTACAAAACCAGGCAAATCCTTCCGCTAACTCCGCGTGAAATACCAAGTTACGACCCACAGTCATGTGATTATCTTCAGCAAGAGCGACACAAACTGCGACATAAATATCACCGCGAATAGGAATAAACGCGCCGTAAATTCCACTGATAGCGGCGACGGACCTAATTCGAGAATATGCAGAGTTATGAGCAGCTTCTGCGGGCGGTGACGACTCCGCTCGCGCTGGGCAGCCGCAATTCATCACGGACCGCGCCAAACGAATTTCATCACTCTCCTAGAGATTGTTCGGGGACGGGGTCAATCCTGGAAGAGAACTAATATAAATAAATGAAAGAAACTGGAGGGCGACGTCAGTACGTCACATTACATCATTTTTACGTGTGAGCAGTTTGTATTTCTGTCAGAAAATAGACGAAGTGTTACTTTGACTATTTTTAAATTTGTTATTATATATACTTTTGTATATATTAATGCCATGGTATACTATACATTTTGTATACGTACTTTTATTTTGTACTGTCCTATGTTATTGTTACTGTACGCAGACTGATTTTGTTAAAATATTCAATTTATTACAATTGACATCGCGATCGCATTCAGGGCGTTCGACTAAGTTATCGCGACGAAGAGACGGCCATCGCGCCAAAAAGTTCTTTGTCCGCTCTCTCACCCTCTCGTGGTTCCGCTTTCGCGCTCTCGGTTTCTCTGTCTCCCACGATTTGTGGCTCTCACGCTCTCTAGTTCCGGCTCTCTGCACTCGCTCTCCTCCTCTCTCGCTTTCAATCTCCTCTCTCGCTACGATATCGCGCACTCTCGCTATCCCGTTCCTTTGATCTCGTTCTCTCTACGTCCTTCTCTTTCGCTCTCCCGCTCTCATTCTCGTGTTCTCTCGCTTCTCTACTTTCCTGCTCTAGTCTCTCTCTCACTCTTCCGCTCTCGCGTGCTGGGTGACGTTCCTCAATGGGAGGCCGCATAAATTCCGCTATCGTGGAACCGTTATCTGCATAACGAGACAGCCCCAAATAAATGGTCATTATCAGAAAGATAAAATGTTTTCGCGCGCTCAACGCGTGGTGTTTGCCATTAACGCGCATTAAATATCAACGCCGCAGTGGAGGGCATGTGAACGTGTCTGTGGGCGTGTTTGGGGAGAGCAAGACGCGTCGATGTGTCCTTTTTTCCTGGTCCTCTCTGAACAGAACAGTGCTGCAGAGAATTCCTTTCCAGAAACACAGTGGTAGAGAGGATGCCGAAATTGGAAATGATCTAATATGGTTTTCTATTTCGTCGATGTGTGGAGAAACTACCTTTCTATTTTTGAGGTAGAAAAGGAACTACTTGTTTCTAAGCAACAATATCAGGTAACAGAGTTATCATGAATTTGAGCTTTAGCAGAGGCAAAGGTGGTGAGAGGGTTAGTGAAGAATGGAATGAGAAGGGAAAATCAAAAGAATATTGAAGAAAGTGTTGACGGGGAAGAAGTGAAGGATAGATAAAATTGATGCATATTTGTGATTTTGAAGCGTAAACGGCCAAAAGTCAAGATATTGTGTCGGCTCTCCAAGACAGAATTCAATGGAAAGAATAATACCGCCATCAGTTGAACATGATCCAAAATTGTTTTATTAAAAAATATCTACTAAAGTTATCTCATTTGTTTTTTATTAAAGTTTTATTGAATTTATTTTTGGCGATCATGACTAGTAGTAAAAAAATATACTTGTGCTTGCAAGTGGGATTTTTGTGAGAATTAGGAGCATAATTCCATTTATTGTCTCATTTTGTTTAAAATACTTGATATTGTCTTTAATTTTCAAAGGTTTTCATCAATGGTTTCAAACAAATGAAAGTAGGGAAATTGATTTCGTAATTTTAAACCGTCACATACACATGAGCGATATTCATATATTTTACTTTATTTCAACTTACACCACAGACGGCAGTTTAAAAATAAAATTGTTAACCTATGTGCTAGCGCAACAATTGTAGAAGTTCACTTAATAAGAATTTCAGCGTTTTTGACAACCTTCGGTTTTTGTACGATTCTTTTATAGCGGCGTACTTCCTTTAATTTCTGCTATTCAGATTCTGAATTAATTGATAGTCTTCTCGTTTAAAGTATTGCAATGTTTAACGTTAGATCTACATCAATATTTCCTTCCATAAACTGTGTCTCCGAACGTTCTGGACATGACGGGTGCTGTGTGAGCCTAGGCCACAGACTAAAAATTGAAATGTACGCCTCAC